GTGTGAGGGAGAGAAGTGGTGGGGGCGGCAACCATGAGGAAATACAATTCGTTTTCTAGATCTTTTATAATGACTTTTGTTCTTTCTGAGATGGTTTTTAACACACAATCAGTTACTGGAACACTTGACTTGATATAAAAGCCCTTAACTCTCATTCTCACTGGTAAAATTGAAGGCAAACGAGATATAACATAAATGACGTAAGAATTATGGAGTAGCTTATTTGGAAAGCCTAAACAAAAGGGTGATGAAGAAAGACTGGACTGTATACGATTGTTGTTGTTGTTGTTGTTGTCGGTCCTTTTTTTAAAGCATCCAATCAAAGCAAAAAAATCTAACGATAAAACATGATTGCTGAAGTACGTTGTGGATTTAGCATTTGATAGTGATGCTCTAAAGAAAAACTATAGACTTGCTTGTTGCTATGGCTGTACAGTTGTAACTTGAATAGATTTCTAAACGAGAGACCCACGACGATTGTGATCCTATCATTTAAAACAAATTAATTTAATTTTAAAAAAATTTTTTTTTTTTTTTTTTTTTTGGGGGGGAGGACAAATTGCAGTTGATTTGTGTCCCCTTATTTCCGTTTCTGTTCACATATAAACTAGCTCCTTCCCCCAAAAATCTATATCTCTTTTAAAACGATTTTCCTTCTTTCTCTACATTATAACATCTCACATTTCTTTAGTAGTGGATCTCGTTATAAATTACCCAACTCCTAGAAATATGTACTATAAAGCGCATAGAGTATGCTCCTTAGCAGAAAATTTCATTATTAAAAGGTTATTTGTTATTGTTTTATTTAAATATCAATTGACAAACTGTTTTTTTTATTATTTTTTTTGGTTTCCTTTACAGGTCCGAACTCCAACCAAAGACGTCGAGGTCGACAAACGTACACGCGGTTCCAGACTCTAGAACTGGAGAAAGAGTTCAAGTTCAACCGTTACCTTACCCGTAGACGCCGGATCGAACTGTCTCACATGCTTTGCCTCACCGAGCGACAGATCAAGATCTGGTTCCAGAACCGCAGGATGAAGGAGAAGAAAGAACTGCAAGCCATCAAAGAACTGAACGAACAAAGCAGAACTCACGAGAAAACAGCTGTGAGTACGCAGCAATCCCAACAACAGCAGCAGCCGTCTTCGGGGAAAAGCGAGGACAAATCTTCCTCCATCTCCTCGCAACACGCTCTCGAGTCACCGAACAGCTCAAGTTCGGAACAGAGCTGAAGAGGGACTATAACTTCTTCTTCTCGTCGAACAGCTTCATTTTGGAACGGGGTTTATTTAGAGAGATTTCTTCTTATTGTTACAATGGCAAGGAGGTACTGAGATGAGTGTAACTCCATGGTACTGTTGTTTTACAGACGCCTGGACAGAGTCGTCCCAGACAGCTCATTCCAGAGTGGGACAGAGACAAAAGTTACATCTTTTAACAGATGACAGTTAGATAAACTACGAAACAACACAACAAACACAGCATAGTGATCTTTGGGTTATTTTAAGATAGAGCAAATATAGGATTAAACGTTTCAGAAAGATCAAGGACAATCAGATGGCATTGAAAAAACGAGACAGTTATACAAAAATACTGCAAAATTAGGTCTTTAAACAGTATGGCCATCGTACCGGGCGAACTGCCCACAGAATACCTCAATGGATTCAACACAGTGTTCACATAGTTCCACCTGTGTGCAGAAATTCATTGAGACTTTTCAACAAACGTCGCTATAAAAGACATTAGCAGTCAAAGGGCGTTAAAGCTCCACCATTTCGCACATTTCGACACCAGCCTCACCCATAGACTTGAATGATAATGTCCTAGACCGGGTCCTGTCATGGCTGCCATTTTTTGCTCTCTAGAAAAAGGACCATGGACGCGTTTAAAGAAGTCTAGCTATAATCAAATGCTCACGGAACTGATAGAGTCAACTGTTGCACTCCCTAGTGAACCGGATTTACGTAAGGAGTGCCTAGTCCTGGATATAATGATACAAGTCTATGGTGTCTCCTCAAACAGTAGGTGTACAGAGATAGTCATAAAATGTTATTATGAGCTCCAGGGTTCTCGTCACCCCAATCGACAATCGTTGAAGACTGTGGAGACTCTCTGCAAGATTTTCAGCTTTGTTCTCCTGCACAAAAAAAACTGCCAAAATTTTATGCGAAGAATGTGCTTCAGTGTGTAAAGATGTAACGACCGCATCAAATATTTATTTTAAACGACATTCTTTTTACCTCATCACAAAGCGCCAATTTTGTTATAATATTATGAATAAGGTAATATTTTTATGATTAGTCCATAGTAGCAATTTGATCTTGCGTAATGACATATCTGCTGTCTGCCGTTTTACATATATGGCAAAAATGTAATGTTTTTCAACATAGTGTAATCATTTCTAGCTGTTCCATGCACATTTTCTAGTTTAAGTGTCCGCCTGTTTTCCACAGTCCCAAGAAATACCTGAGAGATGTTTGGCTTAACCAAATAGTTATCGCTTTAACTTTTTGACTAACTGTTCTTGAAGAAATAATCTTCGTCATCAGACACATTCAACATCTGTCTATTGCTTTCTCATTTTCCAAAAAGGGTGGGGTACAAGAAAAACGACTATAATGCACCAAAACATTTGCAGCTGTTGCACTTCTGGTTTGTTTCAAGAAGTTGCAAAGAAAAGTAGAATGATATCAACACTTTGGCGAAAATGTTCTTTTAGAAACCCCTAAGTCTTGTTAGAAAAAAAAAAGACACCAAGGACGTTTACTCTTTGTATGTTTGTTGGATTCCTTTTCTACATTACTCCATAAAGTCCCTTTCTGTGGTAGACAAACAGAGCAGGGTGAGAAAGGGAGTAGTCACCAAGCACGAGTGGTCACAGAGAGTGAGTGGTCGCTTAAAGTCAGTGGATCCGTTCCATACGTCTCATCATTCATTTTCTGTGGAAGAGTACTGCCAAGCCAAACATTCTTTGTACATATCTTGTACGTATACAGACGCCCAAAAGGCGGTACCCACTTTCTTCAGCGTCGGACGCCCATCGGCGAACACATCATCATTCTACATTAGCAGAAAAATACGCTAGAACGTGTTAATTCATCTATCTCAAGAAACCAGAAAAAGCACCCGAAAGAAAACAACTTAACAGACAACTTTGGCTGATAACCAACACGTCACCAATATGAGCTCTACAAGCTTTTCTCTCACGATCTTCCTCTCCACCCTTCTCGTTTCATCCATCTGTACGGTGACGTCTTCTTCTTGACCAGATGGACTGCCCGTGTCCACCACGTAGTACCAGACTCCTGTACCTGACTCTGGCTGTCTAAGACAACACAACACAACCTCAGAATCCTCCTGCTTCGGACTTCTGTTTCTTCTCTGTGCGTTCATGAAGTTACTTCATTATGAACTACTGTATACCTTGCTACATGTACTACACCATGCTACGTGTTCTACTGAGAGAGTTCCCTCCCGTGACGTGGATGAGGACTTCAATTCCTTGCAAGCTTCTCCTCGCCTGGCCTGTTTTTCTTGGCGTACGCGGAGGAAGTGACGTCACCACCAACGCCCACTCAGACGAGAATTGAACAATGCAGCCGAATTTTTTCTGCATCAAAAGTCAACGTGTGCTGTTGTTATTAATATCACAATCATAATGTGTGTCTTTGTCTTGACTGTGGAATCGGATTTTTCTTGCTATTGTTTTGTGTAAATCCAAATGCTTTTGTTTTCTTGTATCATAGACCTTGACGTCTATATTAGACTTTTCATGTACGTTTGAAATTGAAAATTGTGTGAATGGAAGAGACGTAAGCCTGAAGGGACTTTGTGTGGACACTCACGGGACACTCTACTCTCAAACTACTCACTGTAATGTACTGACGAGTGAAGAAATCTTCCCGTGTGACTCCGAACACACCTTGAAAATTCCCACTGGTCGCACGGCTGCTAGTATGCAAATGAGGCAATTTTCGCGCGTTTGTCTCTCTTCAACGCCAAGTGATGTCATAATTCGCAGCTGTGTGGCGAGTAGAAATTGTCCAAGTGTGTACAGGGCCCTTGTACATATCAGAATCCTTCTACTATAACTTTGAGCAAATGTTACTGTTGTCTTATGTTAAATTCATTCTGTTTTCAGACGAGAATATCATCAAAATACGTGTAATCCTATTATTAATGCTTTATACTTTTAGACCAGTCACTTTTTCGCTTTATGCGGCTATGCACTGGTAGGCTTCATGTTGTCAGTTGTCCCTGTCGATGGATCTTAAACATGCCACACTGTGTGTTGTTGCTGGACAGCATGTTGGCGTATTTTGGAGTGTGCTTTGTTCTTTTTAAATAGTTTAATATGTATTTTCTTTGTTTGGGGTGGTTGTGGTTTGTTTTTTGTTTTTTTCGTCTTTTATATATACAGGAGACGGGAAGGGAGGGGAAGAGCGTCCTTGTTGAACTGTATTGACATTTTTTTAAATTATTTATTTCACGTTAGATATATATGTATATATATATATATATATATTTATATATAATATTATATCATGGAGTTCTTGTTATGTCTAGTTATTTGATTTTCATAAGAATTTTATTTTTGTTGGGTTCTTTTTTCTTGTATTTTACAATTATGTCATTGTTTCTGTCCCTGGACTATTCTGCGTCAACATTTATGTTGATTCTTTCTGTTGTTGTTGTTGAGAAACTGAGGTCAATTGTTGACTCTTTAAGGACGTAGCAGACAAATAACATTTGGTCAGATCAGCAACAGAACAGTGACAATTTTGCGGCACATTTTGAACTATCATTATAACCATCACACACAAATCAGAAACACACATTTGCATATTATTATTTCATAGTACAAGATGTGTTGCCTGCCTGTTTAAGTTTGTGACAAATAAGACTAAATCAAAAATACGTATAAAGAACAAAGTAAAAAATGAATAATAAATATATATTTATATATATAATATGTATATATATATTATACATATATATATATATATATATATATATATATATATATATATATATATATATATATATATATATATATATATATATATATATATATATATATATATATATATATACATATATATATATATATATATATATATATATATATTTATATATATATACACACACTTTTATTTGTCCCAGAAGGGCTCTTAGGCTTACAATCGCAAACATACATAAACATACATTAATACATAGTTATAAATACGTACATATAATAAATACATGCATAAATACATACATAAAAAGTACAAAAACACACAATATTACACAAATACAGAACAGTTTACGACCATACCACTGTCGGTCGCCACAATGCAACGCCCTGTATTTTGAGCCAGCGTTGTCGTGTCTTGCTCAAGCACACACCCCAATGACCACCCTAATAATTATTATTACGCTTCTTTTAGTAATGTGCCCCAAAATCGAGCCTGTTTTCCAACATTGTCGAAGGAAAAAAATGCACGTCCTCAAAGAGTTAATCAAACAATCTCAGTTTGAAAGACAGAATTCTTATGATAGTTATTTCGACTGTCGGATACCCATTAGACGAGAATATACTATGATAGCGAGAATGCTAGTTCTTTCCAAATATGATTATTATCAAAGCCAAACTCATATTATAGTTCTATGAACATAGTTGTTTTTGTTGTTGTTGTTGTTGTTGTTGTTGTTGTTGTTGTTGTTGTTTTTATTGTTATTGTTATAGTTGTTCTTGTTTTTTGTTGTCTGTTTTTGCTGTTGACTTTTGTCTCTGTTTTTGTTGTTGCTATTTTTATCGCATTGTGGAAACACGAATGACTAATTGTTCATTTTTTTTAAAGTAGACTTTTGTCGTCATTTGCAGTTATTATTCATTTTATGCATATTTTGATTTCTGTTTTCTTGTTTGTGTTTTCCTTGTTGAAACTCAACTCTTTTTTTTTTGGTTTATTTTTATTCAATCTTTTATCTTATTATATTTTATTGTTTTATTTGTTTGGTTCTTTGGTTGGTTGGTTGGTTGTTTCGTTGTTTTTTAGAGGGTGGGGGGTAGGGGGTAGGGGGTAGGGGGGGTTGTCTTTTTATGTTTTGTTAGGTGTTTGACCTAGACATCTACGAGATTGTTATTTTCTATACTACTGCTGGTGTTAAAACTGTCGAACATACAAAAGATATTACACTTGTCAAAGAATCCTCAGCTTCAGTAGGCATGTTTCGGTGTGTGCTAAAAAAAAAAAAAAAAAAAGAAAAAGAAAAAAGAAAAGAAGAAGAAAGCCAAGACTAGTCAAATAAACCAATAAAACGATACTCTAAAAATTGCAAACTTAAATAAAATAAAAACAAAGAATTTGTTGATAAGATTTTTCTAAAATGTAAAAAAGTCCCCAAAGCCTAGGCTTGCTCTGTAAAAAATAGGGGTTATATAGGGAGTAGGAAAAACACCCAAGTCAAAATGTTGTACGTCTTCACCCAGTGCCCCCCCCCCCCCCCCTTAGTAGTAGTAGTAGTAGAAATACCCTATTATTATTATTATTATCATTATTTTTTATTATTATTATTATTATTATTATTATTATTATTATTATTATTATTATTATTATTATTATTATTATTATTATTATTATTATTATTGTTATTGCTATTATTATTATTATTATTATTGTTATTGCTATTATTATTATTATTATCATCATTGTTATTATATTATATTATATTAAAATCATTACTATTCTTTATTCTTATTCTTATTATTAGCAGTATAATAATAATTATTTTTTTCATTATTATTGTTATTATCATGATCATCATTATCAATAATTTTTATTATTATTGTTACTAGTATTTTATTATTATTATTAAATAACCGTACTATTATTGTTATTATTTTAATTATTAGAACCAAATTCACTAAAGGGAAAACGCCTTAGGCTAGAATAAAGCAACTTTTTCTTGACTCACTACTTGCGAACACCCGGCAGTCGTATTTTGTTGAATCTGTTGAAACAACTTATGAAATCCACGGAATGCGTCGCATAATAATAATCATCTAGAAATACTTGTGGAAGTATTGCATTTGTATAGCATAAAACAGCTTTGTAAATGCCCATTTCTCCCACGGTTTTTTTTTTGCCACGTCGTCAGTTAAAGTTTTGTCATAACCCTTGGTCTTTGAGATGGAGCTGGCTGAAGATTGGGAATTAATTATAAGGCGTGGGTGGATTTTGTGTCTGTTACTTTTGTTTGAATAATCTTTTTGTCCTTTTATTTGTTTATTTAGAGTGGGTTTTTTTTTAGTTTGGATATTGTTTTTAGCTTTGTTATTTGTCTGTGTGTTCGTTTTGGGTGACGGTGGTGAGGTGTAAGGGGTTGTTATGGGAGGGAGGTGGTGTATATTCCTTCATAGTTTTTGTTTCACTTTACGTAATTTCTCCATTAAAAAATACACACATCGTTATGTAATAAATGAGTGTCCTGTGAATTTTATGTTTATTGTATTCTTTTCATTATTCAGTTTTATTTGTTGCTTTGTTTAATTTTGTTATTTTAATCTTAGTTTATATATTTTCTAAAATTGAAAATTCTGTTTGTGATATTATTTACCTTAAATGTTTCGTCAGCATAAGACACATATTTCTATTCTTTTTATAAGTCATTACCAGTCTGCTTTTTCACTTATTTATTATTGTACCTATTGTCCTGTTATTCTTAATTTTAAAATCTTCGACTGGGAATTGGGACTGTGTGAAAATGAACTCTAGTAAAGAAAAAGCAAATCTCCGCGTGGATCCTGATTTGCTTATTTAAAAAAAGCTCCACAATTTCGAAGAGCGAACCGAACTGCAGGCTCGTTATATTGTACCAAAAGTCTTCTGTTCCAGTGTTTGTTCAAAATACATTGTAATTAATTGAGGCTTGCTTTGCTCAATGGTTTTAACGCAAACATGTTACACGATAAGAATATGAGAAAAAAAAACAGTTTCAAAAATTAATAACAGGGTCAGCAGTCAGACACAATTCAATCAGAAAACTTCCATATCGGATTAACGAAATTGTAAGTCTGCGATTTCGCTGTTCTACTTTCAGTCAGCTCAGTCCATGCGCAAGCCTTGCC